GACTCTGTATGTCAGTCATTGTTTCATTTAGTCAATGAGTGTGTCTGTTTGTTCATCAGTCAGTCAGTCTGTCTGTTAAGCAGTCAATTAGTCTTTTGGTCAGTCACTCAGTCAGTCAGTCAGCCACTCTGTCAGTCTGTCAGTCATCATACAACTTAAAAATATAAAAACCACTTTCTAAGGTGTGTTTATTTTGCATAACAGGCCCTAAAACTGCTTCGCAGAAAGGAACTAAGAAAACGAACATTGGACAAGGCAATTGCAGACTTGCAGTCATTTGAAGAAATTTTACATAGAATCCAAAATGCGCACACAGATAGATTGGTGAGAAATGACTGCTTTGCACATTTTAGTAATATGATAATGAATACCTTAAGGTTGGCATACAGAATGTAAGGCTTTATGTGAAACTGTATTATTGTTCCCTTTATATAAAAGTGTAAGTCTTACATTTAGGCCAAGCCATTCATAGCGCAGAATTGTATCTTGGGCTTATTACACAATGCAGTGTCAACTGACCAAAAGTATTGCCACTTCCTTTGGATTTCATGTTACTCTATAGTCTGTTGCAGGTTCATTAGTTTGTCAGAATTAATTAACAGATTGCTTGTGCTGACCCTCATTCCCAGCATTCCTCATAATTATTCTTACCCCCTCTCTTTCTCCAAGGGGGGAGGGGTCGTGAGGGATTATTGGAACAAGGGTGGAGTACCAGCAAACTGTCAGTGAACTCTGGTAAAATGTTGTTGGCTTGGTCCCCCCTTTATAAAACATGATGGGAAGATGTACAGTGTACAAAGGCTATAGTGTCTTACACATTGACAACAGCAATGGCTTGAATTTTTTAGGGCTTATAATCTTTTTTTGTGCCTTTGTAAATCTCCCAAGTTTGCATTTTCTATCTCTTGTTAGGTTATCGAGGCTTTGAAGGCAGGAACAGCAGCACTGAAGGGGGCACATTCAGGCATGACAATTGAAAAAGTTGAGGATGTAATTGATGACCTTAATGAAGTGAGTCCATTTCAGGTTTCTTTTTCAGAAAAAGAATCTGACATAACAGTAACCAAAAATTATACCATTAAGGGGATAAGTTTCTAGAGAAACTGGTTCTGTGTCAGTTGGGGGGAGGAAGGGGGGTATAACAACACTGTTTCGTTTTATCTTCTGAGTTGATAAAGTAAACTGACCACTGTAAAGAGTTTCTAAAGCTGATGTTTTGAGCATTCGCCCATATCACTCCACCAGCATACTGAATGCATTGTACATTTATAATGGAAATTGAACTGAGTGGAGTGCAATTTTGGTCTGAAATCATAATTGAAAGTGATTTCAAAACCACTCAGTTCAATCACATCCACCTGACTTTGCAATTACAAAATTCAATGATTCAAATACAGAATTTTTAAGTTTGTGCAAATATTTTATTGATCCAGTACTGAGCTGGTTTGTAGAAAGTTGCTAAAATTGTTTTTTTCCCTTGCAATTTGATTGGTTGCATTAAACAAGCCTCGAAATATGATAAGTTGTTGTTGTGTTGAAGTAAAGAAGTAATCTAGAGCAATAAATGGTGTGATTTGTGGTTAAATTGCGCCTGTGAGAGCCAATCAGATTGTAAGGATCAGCAGTGATTTCAAAATAGATGTAATAAATTCAAGAACTGTTGAGTAGAGTAGATTTTAACCCCCCTGGCCCCCGTTTTTAAAAAATAGCTCGAGGTAAAGATCATTGGCACAAAGCAGCTCATAGTTCTATAATTCCAGCTGCTTAGAGCTTGATACTGCTAACATCAAACAGCAAAGATAAGGAGGGCGGTAAAATATGTAAGAAATCGTCACATAAAGGGAGTAAATGATGAAAGTCAACCGATTCCGAGCTGTTGTTCATTTATGAATCAGCTCAACAGCGTTTAAACATGGGTTCGAAATGTAGACATGTATCCCATCTGTAGTGACGCATTTAAATGTTGCATTGGGACTGAGAAAGAACACGTATAAGTGTCTGTTTGAATTTCTTTGATGCAGGGGATAAATGAATCTCAAGACATAAATTCAGCGATATTGGAAGGTGAGGTGAACCGAATTGCTCTATATTTCTCGCTTCTTTGAGTGGGCACTCCACGAGGCAAAAGAAATCAGTGAGAAACATATTAATGTTAGTGCGCCGCGCAGAACTCTGGGAGTGAGGCGCACGAAAAGTCACTCAGCCGTGCGGAGGTCAAACGGTTCTCTTTCTTAGTTTGGAGTCCTTACTTTAAGTGCGCCTCACTCCCAGAGTTCCACGCGGCGCGCATACGTCAATTTTTTTTTCCTCGGATATTTTTTTTCTTTTGACTCGCTTGACGGACTTCATCGAAAAGGAGGGACTGCTCATAGTCTATACTGAGAAATAACTTTTTCCTTTGGATTTCCAGAGCAATCCAGCGTTTCACTGGTTTTGCTCAACAATGAGATGTAAACTTCGACAAAATCGTGTCTTAGACTTTTACGATTTTTGCGCTTGTAAATACCAATAAGTGGTGTTTTTCGTTTAGAATTGTATACGCCAAGTTCTCTTTTTCTCCTGATTGACTTGCCTTTTTATGATAAGCTGTTAAATTAATTTGATGTCGATCGTATTTCTTGTTAACTTTTGCTTTTCCCTCTTTCATCATGTCAGTATCAACCTGTTTTGTTTAATTTTACAATACCCAAAAAGTTCATTTTCATCTTCATTTCAGGTAATGTACGACGACTTTCTGAGGCATCTGGGATAGGACCGGATGAGATGGAGGAACTGGAACGAGAATTAGAGAGCCTCGATATCGGGGAAAAAGGTATTGTCAAACTTGCCGAACTGATCGTTTTGCTATAAATGAGCCTGAGATGAAACTCATCTAGGCCCTCAGTGCACTCAGTTTATGACAATACAATGTAGTTCAAAAGTGATTCTTGAGAGAATTTGAGCTCTGACCAGTTTCGCTTTCACGGGGGAATGCATCACCAACTGAATTACAGAGAACTTGTTTAGGAGCTCGGCCGTATATTATGTTCATATCATTTGACAAGAGTCTTCAACAGGTGGGTTATGTTTTTCTCCTTTTTAGATTCGGGCTCCGCTGCGGGTTACCAGTACCACTCGACTTCATCTAGGGTAGCTCAAAGGCCTGGTTCGGACACGGAACTTCCCAAGTTACCTCCAGTCCCCTCGCACAGCCCGGATGCATCTGAAAATCTATCAACGAGACAGAAAACAAAAAGCCTTGTAGCCAGCTAAGTTATTTTAAGAAGCCTAGCCTCGCTTTAAGCGGGAAGAGAATGTAGGGGGACAAAGGAACATTATTAGGATTTACCTTTCCGTGCTGTTGTTTGCGTGATGTTGTACGAAGTAAATTGTAGTTTTCATTTTTGTGATTAAGAAAATTATCGAAGGGCAAATTTTTGGCTTCCTATAGAAAAGGTGGAAAGAGTCACACGCCGGCTTCTTAAAATCGAACGGACACTGCAAAGAAACCTCCAGCCCAACGATTAATTGAGAATAGCTAACATTACCATCCCTCTACCTCCTCCCCAGTCTTCATTGGGTAAGAACTCGTGCATCTCAATCTAAGAAGTCTTTTTTGTTCAAACTTTAGACCCGAAAAAAAAAATCTCAATTGCCTTCGTATCGTACTGAATAATTCAACGCTCTTTCCCCATAGACCGATTGGGACATAATGGAACATTTACTCCTGGGACATTGGGGTTGCTATGAGAACAGACGTAAAATATCAAACTAGACGATCAAATGTCCCTTCCCCTGTATTATTTGGGATATGAAACCATGGCAATACGCACACATCACGTCTCTGATACAACTTTTATCAGGGAGTTTTACAGTATCAGAGAACAGATTTCAAATCTTCCTAAACACATAACTGGTTGATACGTAGAAACGTAAGTGTTTGATGGACGAGCGGGTAAGTAAGTGTTTTATTTTGATGGATATCTGTATGGGTTAACTTTTGCGCGTAAAATATCATTTATTGAAAGGATACAGAATTTATGACAGGTCATATTGTTAGCACAACAGAAGCCTTCAACTAGGCTTTGAATTATTTTATTTGTAAATGTAAACTTGCTTGTTATCCTTAGTCATTCCCCTTTTTGTTGTATGTATCCGATTCAAATAAAAAACTTCTTTTTCATCTTTTAAAGTATTTCCGTTTATCTTCAAGCTACTAGTACTCTCCAGTTATCTGCCGTCTCAGAGAAGACAGAGTATGCCTCAAGTTAGGTAGACCGTTAAGACCGTGCGCTCATGTTCAAGGACATAAGCACGCGTGAAAAGTTTTTACGTGTTACAGCTTTTCGATAGCGCGTTAGGGTTATCGTGAGAGGTTATTGGTAATCAGGCTACATTGCCTTATCGAGGCAAAAATAACAAATGTTGCACGCACATCTATAAGTATGAATCAATTCTAATCATTTTCAATAATTTTAAAATTTTGTCGTGTGTGTAAGCTGAGAGCACGTTAACAAAAGCCAAACAATGCGAATGCTGGGTGGGAACTCATTTTCTCTGTCAACCTCCATGCTTGTGACAACACTCCGACGTTTTACAGGCTGTCGATATTATAGTTTCATCGCACTCAGGCTCGTCATGCAAAAATAGTGAAAAACAAACGAGAAAGCAACACAAAAAGGCGATTCGTAGAATCTGGCAACGGCGTGAGCGCGTGCGTTGGTGATAGAATCATACTCAACGGAGTATACTACATTCTCTTTCGGTTTTGTGTGCTACAGTGTACGTAAGAAAATGCTTCTTTGTGGAATAATGAATGATTGTGCTCCGTAACTCGTTTTGAAACCGAGGCAAATGTAACTGGGAGAAAAGCGAGTCACTTTGTTCAACTCAGTGCTGGTCAGTGGATTTTCTGTAAAGTTTGCGGTTGTTGCGTCATAATGCCCTTCGTCATGGAAAGTTCAACGATGTTTTCTAGGTGCTAAGTGAATTCGGGAAGCAAAAAAAGACTTTATGTTATTATGGATTTCAAGAACTGTCAGAGAGTTGATAACATCAGAGGTAAGCTAATGGTTTGCGCTTTGCTTTGACCTGATTCGCTTTGTAGTCGTTTTAAGACTGCAGCGACTGTCCGGGCCAAACCGAGATCTGACCTCGCTTTTTTCTTAAGCATTTTAAAGTATCTTTGCTTTAGAACTGCCTATATTTTTTTTTCAAACCTGCATCTTGAAAGCTCTAAAGCACATCGCAAAGCCATGGTTTGTTTACAACCAGAATTTTTGCCATAGTTTAACGTTTTTTTTATTTTATGAGCACTTCATCGCATTTTCTCTAGTTTTATTATTGTTTTGTTGCGTAGATTTTGAAGTGATGTTTTAAGAAACAGACTATTTTACAGTTTTAGGTAATAGTATGCTCCTGATGTAAGAAAAACTTGACCAAAAAATGATGTCGGAGGAAGTTGGGTCTGAAGTGCCACGTAAACAGGACAGCAAAGCGGAAGAAAACAACTCTAAGGTAATCGTATGTGAATAGGCGTAGTATTTCAAGAAGAACCCAGAGCAAACGTTTTTGGGATGTCCACATTCGAATGAAAATGATAAAATATTTCTGGACATGTATTGTTTTTGAAACAGCCATTGAGGCCGTTTTTCTTAATTTACTTCCTTTCATCTATGGTAAGTCTGCAGTTTCAAGTGGATCTTCCGACGAGTTGAAGAGGAACGCTCATTCCGGTAAGAGAATGTTTTTAAAAATTCGGCTTTATACCTTGAAACTTGCTAGGTATCGCCGATAACGCAAGGGACTTAAAAGGTTCTCTTCCACCGTCAAATGGACGACAAAACGCTATGGTAAATTCAGACAATTCCAGTTGCCGTATTTATGGCCTTAGAGACTTACAAAGATTCAGATGAAAACCAAGAGAGGAATGGATAGACACAACTCAGGAAGATTCTTAGAGGGTGTAAAAAATCCATTCACCGAAAATTAGGCTAGAGTCCAAACTCCGTAGGAAATGTGTCTAAAATTGTTAAATGAACCACGACATTTGGCTAAAACAAGAATTCCGAAACTTCTTCCAATGAAGGGGTAGCAAAATTTTGCGTAAACGAAAGCTCAAAACAACTAGTTAAACTCCGTAAAAACAAACAACAGAAGTAAGCATAAATGTCCACGTCAGTTTTTCCAGTGTCAAGGTTAGAGGTCTTTGAATCACGCCGCGCGTGGATACAAAAAGGGTAAAAAGGGGAGTGTGGAAGGGAAAAATTGTTACTTGAAAAATTTTATTTGAAAACAAGAGATATTCTACACAGGGGAATGCGTCGTATTCGTGTGAACTTAAACAGATTCGGCACGTCTATTTTCAAAAGTCTTTAGGGTGTCTGAAAGTTATCTGCCTTTTTGACTTTGTGGCGTGAATTTGTCAACCTTCTTTATTAGGTTGATTTTGCTGAGAGGGTTTGAAAATATATTTAAAATAAACCGACATTTCTTGACATAACTCGGTCGCACTCCTTGGATTTCGATCTCACGTTTCTCTTTTTTTTGGCTGATACCTTATTCATGGTCCACCTACAGTTTTCATTGACCCAACTGAAGAGTGACCCTGAAGCGACTTTATTTTCTTTTTTATTTATCATTTTAGCAGAGAACCTCACAGCGGATGAAACTGAGTCAGTGAGAGTGGACTCCAAAGAGGATAATGAAGTCTGTCACTTCTTAAGGTCTGTTCAGGCATTATGGGTAAACTGCGATGTGTATTCCATCGTGCTGTACTGTGAGGGTCTCATGGAGATAACCGATAGCCATAAAACGGCCAAAAAATTAGCCGTTAGGTGTAAATTAACAAATTTTAACTGTCACTCGTTAAAAAAAAAGATAACAGTAAAAATTATTCTGCTAATAGGAACGAAGAGAAAATAATATTCAGCCGTGAAAACCATCACCCACCCCCCTCCCTCCCTCAAACCCTGAGGTCCTCCAATGTGGCTTGTACAGCCGATCTTTGAACAACAAATGTACGTTATTCGCCAGCCGGGAGGTCCGTATCGGGAAAACTATGCCCGAGGTCTTGAGTACCGCCCGAGGCCGTAGGCCAGTGAATAACATTTTGATTTTTTTCAAACTTAACGAAATTCTTTTTAAAAAGAACCCGAATGATTTAGGGCTGTATTTACGACAAGATCTTCATAAACTGACAAATTTTTGAGCGAGTAAACGGTCGTTAAAATAGAGGTGATACAAACGTAAGGGAGAGGCTTCACCGAAACATTTTCATTTGCGTTATGATAAAGGTTATTTAAAAGGCTTCCAAACGAAATTTGAAACATCATTTTTACAAGTATCTGTCACAATCCGACACCTGTCAATTAGAGAGCGCGTAAGAAAAAAAAAGCGCACCTGCATCTTTGAAAAAACAACGGAACTAGTTTGGCAAGGACTGTCACGACAATGTTTTCATAAAGAACAGTCAGTGATTTTACGAAAAGTATTCACTCTCATCGACGATTAATTGATGTTCGAAGATTTACCTCTGCGCAGTAAGTAAATGGCAAGGAGAGTATTTGTAAGTAAATTCAAATTTTTTATTTTTAAGTTGTGAGAGTTTGCTCGGTTGCTTGCTGCAATGGCGTGTATAAATCTGCGTCTTTCCTCCCTGATAGCTAAATTTGAATAACAAACTTAAACTTGACACAAGGGGGTTTAATGCGGCTTTTTCTCGCTGAATTCATTTAGTTTCTGTTGTCCAGTTTACGGAACAATTGTCTGAATTGAACTGATTTGAAAAGACTCACCGAAAGCGTGTTTGAACTGAAAACTTCGCTCGCCCTTTCACTACGAACAAATTCTTTGAGAGAATTCAGATATTGTATGAATGAAAGTTCCATCGACTAATTCAATTGTAATCAAATACCTCAATTAATTACAGACGGTTTCTAGGCCGCCTGTCAACCAATTTAATTACACAGGTAGTGACCGACGTCTTCGCATAAAAATGCTGCCCAGCCGGAAAAACCAGATAAATTTATGAAAATGGCAACGGGGGAAGGGATGTACTCGGTGACTCACGAAAGCGTTAGCGTGCCCGTGTGCAGAGATAGGAAAATACGATATATAAAAATAAAAAGGCTATACTGACCTGATACTTCTAGATTCTCCTTACTTCCCGATACCGGGAATGATTTCCAAAGAAGAATTCAGAGGCGTCAACATTTACTTAATTAAGCGCCGTGGCGTTTTCTTGTCGCAGCTATTTGGGGCGCTTCATATTCTTCTTATTTCAAAAGATGAAAGTAGAACGAGAAATTGTCAATATCAAAGAAAGGAACATATTAAGTATAAAATATCACTAATTGTCCCGTTTTGGTGGGAAAACGGGGTTGTCCTTAGAATAGCTTGTACTGAATCTTGGAATATGCCTGATGGAATATGTCTGTGGTTCCACTCCTTGTGGGCGTGTCAAATCTTCTCAAAATTATTTGTGGTGTTTCCTTATTTACTTTTTTTCATCATAGTTCACGTTTGGTTTCCAAGTCCTCAGCAGCATTTCCTGTTCGCCGAGTGTCCTCTTTCACAGATCTTAGAGACGTCAAAGGAAGAATGAAGTCCAGTGCAAAACACTGTAAAAGTGAAGGAAACATCTCAAGTATTGAGTTAGCTCCCTCACTTAATGATTCAAAGTGGCCAGAGTTCTTATGCAGCAACCATACTGGTCAGGAGCACACCAGTGAATACGAAGTGGAGGGTGTAGAAATTCAAACGACAAGTGAGGAAATGGTAAGTGGTTATTTATGATACTGATGTAAAGGGTGCTTTGTAAAACCAAACCTTCTGTAATCTCATGGGTAAAATAATTGATCATGAAATAAGTTTTATCAAATGTTTCCTCTGTGAGTATAAGTTATTCTCCTTTGCACGGCCTGTCTGCTTCCTTTCGCCAGCACGCACATGCATACGAGCTTGCTCCAGATGCAGGAAAAGAAAAGAAACATTTCATTGACTGGTACTGATTATCACAAAATGATTATTGACTGTTCTGATTTCAGGCTTCAAAATGTGAGCTGACTTTCACTGAACCTAAAGGGGACAAAGAAGAAGGTAAATCATACAACCGGTTAGACTGGTTAATATTTCTTATGGGAGAAGCATCTTTAGAAACCAGATAATTTCTATACCAAACTTTAAAAAAGGATAAAAAATTAACAACTTACCGCGTTATGAGATTCCAAAGAGTAACCTGAGAATACTCTTTAGCTGTCTTCATAAATGTAAAAAAATTCTGTTATGAACGCCGTCATTTTGAAAACAGCTGTGATCGGTTTACACGTAAAAACCACGAAACGCAGTTCTTTGGTTATCGAAAACAAAATCATAATATTTAATTTAACTTAGAAAGTCATTTTGTGATATTCCTAATTAATCAAACGGCCTTCCGAGAGATGAAAGAAAGGGTATAGAAATTTTACTAGGACGATAGAAGGTGACAGCCTCCGTGGTCGGGTTTTAAGCACATTTTAAGACAATTTTTAAAAGCTTAAACCACGCTCTTTTGAAATCTCAAACACAGCTAAACTCACAATATCATGTGCACTTTTCGATTAGGAGAAAAAAAACTACACAACTTTAAGGGCATACTTCTTAAAATGTATGTGCCGAATTCTTATTTTCCTTTAAAGAGTAGATACCACCCAGTCTTTTCTTTAACCTAGCGCATTGACACTTATTTAGACTTTGGTTTAAGTTACTTGAAATTGCTCTCAAAATTTTTAAGGCCTGTTATTGACTTAAATAGCAGTGGTCACCAAATTAAAACCAATGGCAAATTGTTTATGTTTTATATATACAAGGCGTTAGTCACGTGCAATAATACCGGGCTTCATTGGTTCTTCGTTATTGTTTGGCTTATTTTTGTTCCGATGGCGAGCTTACGCTATGGGTATACGCAACTGAACTGCTGCTGAAACCATTTACTTTGTACTTAAGTAGCAAAGGCCATGTCCACCAACTCACAGCAAAAGCTACAAAATTTGATTTTATGTCCTGGCGTTAAAAAAAAACTATAATTTTATTTGTGCTAAACTCGGGGAAGTAGAATTCAGCTGGATAAAATGAAACTTAACACTCATAGGTCTCTTCAGTGTTGTTCCATACATAGTGGTGTGATATAAATTGCTTTCATCAAACTAGGAAATGAGGTTACGGCAGATGAACACCCTCAAGTCACACGAGGAGACGTTTACCAGAATATTGACTTCCAGAGGTAACTAGCTGCAGAGTATCTACAATGGTATAACTTGCGATCGAAATGTATTACAGATATGATTCATTTCCCGGAGAAATGTTTGTTTTGAAACTGAAACCAATCATAATGGCCAATTATATAATAAGCTCGAGATTTCAATCGCGTGATAGTTGATGAGGACGACGCTCAAATCAGCAATTGCTTGAACATAGACGTCAAAGTTTTCACAATGTGGACAATGCATCTCCCGGCATGGAAAGGGGAGATCCAAAATAATTTTTTCTCTCGATTGAATTCTTCTTGGGTGTTCTTCCTGAGAACGTGTTTATTTTGAGAACAAAGGTGAAAGGTAAATAATACTCGACGGGAAAATATGCCACCATAGAAAAGACTGGAAATTGACTGTGGAGATACCATTGAGGCCACTGTTTGATTAAAAAATGAAACTGTTTAAAAGAAATATATATTTTTTTCCGACTGGTAATTTTTAATTGAAATTACCATCATGATGTTATTTTAAAAATCTTATTTTATTTCTAATTTAAAGACCGCAGTTAACTATAGAAAAGTGTTCGCTTAAAAGGAGGCAAGGAGGATGGTTTATAGTGCATTAATATATTTGCCAGAAACAAGTTAACAGATGGTTACTGTTTCTTCCGTTTTCACAGAGTGATTGATTACGAACAAAGACAACGTTCGCAGAGTGATTCAACCGACTTAAACTCTTCAGGTGCCTTCACTGCCGAGAAGCTCAGGAAAACACAAAGCTACACAGTATTTCCCCACATCAATAAAAACTCCACATGCTCAGATGACGAACCTTCCTTCAACCTTTACCGAACATCCTGCTTCAGAGTTATGCCCCATCTATCAGAAGGCTCCTTTCACAATGAATATTTTCCAACAATCTCCGTTTTGTCTCGTTCGTCCCAGTTTGAAAATTACCCTTTGAATATGACTTGTGAAATCAGTAGCGAATCTGACGATTCCGTAAGGGAGCTGGAGGTAAACAACCAAACCGTGCTTCATACGTGGCGAAGGCCAGCCCAGAGAACTATGTCCTACTCAGAACCTGCTCCGGTTGAGCCCGAGGGACGGGTCCGAACATGGAGCCTACCTAATTTGGAGGAGAAGCGTTCAAGAGGCCAAGAAACGATGCACAAAGTTAAAGCGTCTCCATCGCGGCTTCAATTTCCCGAACAATCGTTGAAAAACCTGAGAGAAGAAGGCAGTTTATCTTCGCTGGGACACACCTCAGAGGCAGTTAGGTCTCGTTCTTCGTCAGTGATGTCACTTGTGGATAATTACGACAGCCAAATTTGTGATCAACATTTTCCATCCCAAGAGCCTCTTGAAGCTGAAGAAGTGATGGGTCACTGGGTAAATCGCAATCGAAGACAATCTATATCCAAACAGCCGTCATTCTTGTTGGTCAAAGAGGTCGACGAAGAAAACGAAGCTAAGGTGAGGGTAACGATTTAAATTTTAGAATTTTAACAAGCGCTTCGTAACTAGACTACAAGCAGTCCCTCCTTTTCGGCGAATTCCGTCGCGCGATTAAAAAAACAGTGAGGCAACTCCCAGTGATCCCTGTGGTGCGCTACCATCAATATTTTAAAACCGTCCTTTTTTTAACTCGCGCGACAGACTTCGCGGAGGAGGAGAGACTGCTCGTAGTCTAAGAACTTACCAGAGTGGATCCAGAAATGTCAAACACGAAGCGAACAGGTAATTTAAAATATGTGACTTCTAGCAAGGTTGACTGGTTATTTAAAAAATGTGACTCCGGGCAAGGATCGTGCCCTCGGCCTCGTTTATCGGTTTTTTTTTTTTATAATACTCCTTATCTGTGGAACCTGTATTAAGCGGTCACCCAGTATTAAACTGTCAACTCACCATTCCCCGTGGGTGGCCGCAGAGCTAAAGAGAGCTCGTTAGTGAGTGGGGCTATCACAGTTGGTTCGTTTGTCCGACAAGTGCCCCATATAATGCTAAATGCATGTTACGCCCCAGGTAAAAAACATAGTTCCTTTAATTTTTTTGTTTGAGGTAAAGCTGTAAAACTCTAAAAACAGTTGTATTCGATTATACTTTTCAGGATCGTAAGACTCCTTCAGCTGTTTCTCTTGTAAACGAAGTTGCTGAGCAAGTCTTGAGTTCTCACGAAATGGTAAGATTTGAAAAGGTAAAAATAAAACCAGTAAATAAGACAATCGTAACAAAAATTTCGCTAAATTTTAATGAAGAAGTTTAGAAGTGAAAGGCTTGTCTTTCGTGAGCGCCCTCTTGAGGTCTTAGAAGGGACCTTTAGCAGTTAGGACGGCAACGCTGAGGAAGACGTCGATTTAAAAATAAGCATATTTTTAGCTGGAATCTCGTGAAGTACTGGATGTGCCTATCATCTCTAACGGTGCCACGAGTTAATCTCAGCATAACGTATGAAAGCGGCATAGAGTAGTAAATGGAAACTTAAATAATGTGCCGTCGGGTTCCCCGCTCTTTAGACCGCGCAAATTTTGATGATTTCAAGTTGTTATTTTGCAGAGAACGGCAAAGAAATGTACACATTTTTTAAAAGGCACGTTCTGAGCTATCGTTCAGCTCATTAGATCTTTTGTTTGCCACCTCCTCGTTGCCGTCGTCGTCGTGGTTTGTTAAAGGTCCCTAGGTCAGCCTTCGGCGGGTTATTTTCTCTTCTTCAATGGCAAGACACTTCATTCCCTTGGCGCTTTTGCCTTCTCAGGACTGTAAATAACAACCAGCAAACTCAATCAATCAGTCAATCATTTCATTAATGTCATAGTTTGAAATAAGGTTGCCCTGTATATCCGAGCCATAGGCTCACGTGTAAAAAATTAAAAGCTGAGCACATCAAATATGAATTACAAATGAAATATGGTAAGTATAAGAATATACAGATAAGTAATTATATTGAAGTACTTCGTTCAGACCACATTTAGATATAAAAATGGTATAAAATAGTATTTTTACATTCCTTAGTTAGATTATCAAATTATGACGCGGTAAAAGAAAGCTGATTCCTAAAAAGTGACACCTTAAAAGCAAACGAATAATGAAATAATTTTCAGTAATGTTATTTTTATAGAGTGTTTCATCAGAAAGCGGTAATGATGATGTGTCAACAGTGGGGGCTGCTGTCAGGATGTGGAGGACTAAGCAG